TTTTCTGTCTCTTATTTCTTGTTATTTTCGGCCTGGTCCCTTTCTGTCCTCGCTCATTTTATTACATTTTCTCTTTCCTTCTAGTACTGTTTCCTTTTAATTTCTTCTCTTTTTTTGTACCAGATGGCCTTGTCTCTGCTTGCANCCTTTTTCTGTCTCTTATTTCTTGTTATTTTCGGCCTGGTCCCTTTCTGTCCTCGCTCATTTTATTACATTTTCTCTTTCCTTCTAGTACTGTTTCCTTTTAATTTCTTCTCTTTTTTTGTACCAGATGGCCTTGTCTCTGCTTGCATTGTGAAGTACCAAGATTGAACTAATGGGGTGTACCTCTTTCTCTCCGGCCCGTGATGGTGGCTCCTCTGGTCTCAGTTGTTATACCTCGCATAGCGCGCAGAGGGAGTGGAGGATTCCAGAATATCTGTCGTTGATTTCTATTGACTTGCGGACCCCTCGGGGCCATTTTATTTGAGTGTACCTTTTTAGGGTAAGTTAGCCTGCGACCACGGGAATCGACCGCGTCGAGTGTTGTATCAGTACGGACATACAAAGGTACTGGGTAGAGAGAGATCGGAACGGTTTTTAATGTGAAGACAACAACAACAACAAGTTTCGGCCGAGGCTGGGGTTCTTATTTTCCTGATCATCCTCTTGTGGGCTACAAATGGCCGCTATATAGGTTTTAGTGTGGGGTCTTAACCGAGCTCACAAATGGTGCTCAGGTTCTTACCTTCTGATTTTTTGCGAGTCTCGATTTCTTAACTGTTATATCTTGAGTGCGGGCGCTATCTGCAGGCCGCTCTGGAAAAAGATGGCAATAAGTACTTCTCCCCATTGACCGTTTCGCGGGGTCCGTCAACGCGGGTGGCAGCCTCGAGGGGGCCCGAACGCGGGGGGGGGGCGCACGGTCACCTTCTTCCGTCAATGCACTGCACGTATTATTTTTGTGGCGGGACAAGCGCACAAAGATACTGCAACGTCTACTGCTACGTGCCTACATTCGATCCAAGCAACAAGTTGTGCCTCCGCCGGAATCACATGCACGTTGAGATAGTGTGTGCGCGATTCGTTTCTTCATATATATCTTCGTGCCGTGTGCCTTTTCATCCCAGAACCCTATAAATCCTTGGACCGTTCTGTGCATGCATAGTTGTATGCATGCGAAAAAATGCAACGAGCCTTGCCTGGGGGTTGCCCTGTCTCTCGCGACTCGTGCTCCCTCCTCGCAGCTGTAGCGACACTTCCTCCCAATCCAGGCGTAGTTGTCACCCCCCGATTTGTTTCCGACGGTGTGAGGCGGGATAATTTCGATTGTCTCTCCTTTCCAAAAGGCCCGACGACACTTGAAGCAGAAGCGGTCGCCGTCGTTGTCGATCTTAAGAGGGATGAAATCATCGTCGGTGTAATAAAAGTAACGCATGATCGCCATTGTCGTCATGACGCTGCCACAAGTGATGAATAGGGTAGGTAGGGAAAGAGTTGTAGGAAGGGAGAGGAGTTGGGGCAAGTGTGAGAGTGTGCAGCAGAGGGCAGCACCTGAACCACCCCAGCAAACTGCTCGTGTCGGCAGTGTGGTCGTTCAGAAGGATCCAGGACGTTTACGAAGGGTGGGGGAGGCCGCAGTCAGATTCTCAGATCCAGTCTAGTCTATTCAGCTCCCGCTCCCTCTCGCAGAACAGAATAACGGCTCTTCGTTGTTCTCCCATCTGATCGATGTACCGCTGTGCAGGTTACCAAACATACAAATCGGCCCGCCCGCCCAACCTCAGCTGTGTAGAAGCCTAGCCGACGGCTTGATCCACGTGGTGTAAGTCGGTTAGCTTCATGCAAAGCGCCTGCAGCGTCACGTGTACAGTCCATACACTACACATCAGGGGTTAATCCGGTCGCCCCGGTGGTCTAGTGGGTAGCCTTGCAGCCTGCTAAGGGCCAGGTCATGGGTTCGAGTCCCGACAGAGAGAGTTTTTTCTCGCTTATTACATCCTGGTCTCCGTTGGAAGCGACGGGCTGCAAAGCTCGTTGTTGTTAGTAAACTTGATCGACTTCATAAGTCGCGAGGGAAGGGATTGCTGTACCCTTCTCGCGACAAAAAATATCTCAGGCAAGAACCGCAGGATGGGGCCCAACCCCCCCCTCCTGCGTGACCCCGGTTGGGTCATCTAGCTGGTAGAAGTGGAGGATTGGGGCCAGAGAGGGGTTGTTGTTGTTGTTGTTGTTTTTCTTCTTCGTGTCAGTTGCTAATCCCAAAATCTAGCAAAGACTCGGTCCGTGGTCAAAAAAATGCTAGAGCCATCAGAAGGTCTAAAGAACACACACACTATCAGCAAGAAACGGGTACGCAAGCCCGAGGAGGTACACCTGCAATCCCTGCAGCACGTTT